TTTTTTTTTTAAATCTTTTTCTGAGGTTGTGTATTTTAGGTTAATTCATCCCAGTCCACTCCCACTTCAGTATGGTTATACTATTCATTCAAAATATAGTTTGTTTTTATTTGTTTCAATTTCAGGGTTTTCACCCATCCTGGTCAATTTTATCATTTTTATTTTTATTTTTTTAGTTTGTTGACAAAAAGTCACTCTATAAAATATTTGAAGAGATTTATTCTGAGCCAAATATGAGTGACCAGTGGCCTGTGACACATCCCTCAGATTCTGAGAACGTGTGCCCAAGATGGTCAGCTCACAGCTTGGTTTTACACATTTTAGGGAGACATGAGACATTAATCAAATACATTTAAGGTATACATTAGTTAGGTCGAGAAAGGTGGGACAACTGGAAGCAGAGAGAGGTGCAGTGTTCCAGGTTATAGGTAGATTTTAAAATTTTCTGATTGGCAATTGGTTGAAAGAGTTATTATCAATAGAAAGGAATGTCTGGGTTATCAAAAGTAATTGTGGAGACCAAAGTTTTATTGTGGAGATGAAGCCTCCAGGTAGCAGGTTTCAGAGAGAATAGATTATAAGTGCTTCTTATCAGACTTAAGGTCTGTATTGATATTAAATACTGGTTGGTTTTTCCTGAATTCCAAAATGGAGGAGGGCATAATGAGGCATGTCCAACCCCTGCTTCCTGGCATAGCCTGAACCAATTTTTCAGGTTAACTTTGGAGTGCCCTGGCTGAGAAGAGGGTTTCATTCAGATGGTTGGCAGGGTAGGGGGTGTTAGAATTTTATTTTTGGTTTACAAGGTTTGTTTACCTTTTTATTCTCAGAAAAGATCATAGTGGGTTTTTTAAATGAGATTTTGTTTTTAATTTTTTAAAAAACCTTTTTAATTTTTAATTTTTTAGATTTGGGGGTACATGTACAGGATTGTCACATGGATATATTGTGTAATGCTGGGGTTTGGGCTCTACTGAACCCATCCCCTAAATAGTGACCATAGTACCCAATCAGTAGATTTTTCAACCCTTGCTCCTCTCCCTCCCAACCACCTTTTGAAGTCCTCAGTTGTCTGTTGTTTCCATCTTTATGTCTGTGTTATTATCATTATTTATGAGTATCTACAACATTAATACAGCTTAAAAGTTAAAACTCTATACGAAGATATTTTCAGAGAAGTGTCACTTTCCCTCCTCCCTCTATTAATTCCTATCCAACCCTTGTAGACAATCAGTTTAAGGAGTTTCTGGTATATCTTTCCTGTGTCTTTTTTTTGCAAAAGTAATTAGCGGTGCATATTTATATAGATGGTGTCTAAAGCCATGAAATTGAGTGAGTTTAGATGGAGAAGAGAAGAGGACCAGTGGCTAAGCCTGGGTCAGTCTTATATTAAGAGTTCAGGGAGAAGGAAGGAGCCAGCAGAGGAGAAACACAAGGAGCGACAGTGAAGAAGGAGATGTCCTGGAGGCCCTGGGGAGAAGTGTAATGAGGAGGAGGGAATAACCAGCAGTGCCAAGTGCTGTTGACAGGTCAAATAAGATGACTGAGAATTAATTGGGCATTTCAGTTAGCAACATGGAAGCACCAGTGACCTTGTCAGGGCAGCCTTTTGGGAATGAAATCCTGATTGAAGTGAGAATGGAAGGAGAGGAACTAGAGACTGCAGGCACAGGCAGCTTTTTAAAGGAATTTTATTGCAACAAGAAGCAAAGAAATGGGTGGTAGCTGGAGGGAAAAGTGGAGTCCACAGAAGGTTGTTTTTTCTTTTTTAAATGTATGCTGAGAGAAATGATCTCGTAGAGAGGGAAGAAGTGCTGCTGGGATGTCCTTGAGTAGGCAAACGTGGATAGGATCCCATGCCCAAGTCGGGACTTGCCTTTATGGAGCCTGCAAATTTCCTCTGGAAGAAATTTCCTCCCCACAGGCAGGAAGCGGAGCATGTGCCTGCAGGTGCTGACAGGTAGGGGGCTTTGCAGATAGGAGCTGGTAGACATTCACTTCTGATTTCTTCCATTTTCAGTGAAGTAGGAAGGATCAACAGCTGAGAAGAGGATGGGGAGGAGTTGTTGAGTATTGAGGAAGAAGTTGTGAAATCCTTTATTGCAGAGGGTAGAAGAATGAATGAATAGTAATATGTGGTATGAATGACTGCAGCTTTCATGTCCCTCTCTGAGTTCACAGTCATGGATTTGAAGTGAGACCAGTCAGTGTGCATTTCTGCAGCACACTGGTGATGCAAATGCAGGAGTAGAATGGTGGAGAGTTGAATTTTGTAAGTGAGCATGACAAAGCAAGAGGGGTGCAAAGAAGTCAAGGGTATGTGCCAGGGAATGGTGTGTAATAATTGATCATAGGGTTTAGCTGGCTAAAAAGAGATTGAGGATATTAAGAGGGTAAGGAGCAGGAGAAGAGAAGGAAGTTCAGATCCTTGGTGGGGTTGGGGCACTAGATGGGTACACTGGAAAGATAGGAGATGGTGGTCACACAGTGAGATGCATGAAACAAGATGTATGGAGGGGCTGCAGTCTGGTACTGACAAGGTCTGGGGTATGGCCATGGAGTGATGAGCTGAGGTAGGGAGGACAAGAGCATAAGAGGAAAGGAATCCCAGGAACTGAGAGGCCAGGATATTGGAAGGATTGGTGTGTATATTGTATACACTGAAATACTTAAGAAGAATGACAGGAAATAGTATTGGAGAGAGAGCAACAGTGAGCCAGGAGCCAGGAGCCAAAGTCAAAGAGAAATGTGGGGGTTGGTAGATAGATAGTGGGTGATATTGCCTGATGACTGAGATTCAGAGCTGGTGCTCTTACTCCCCTTTCAGGTTGCCCTACTCTTAGAAAAAGAAGAAGAATAGAGAGAAGAATGGACAAAGGCAGCAGCAAAATTGTCATTTAATGACCACTGGGTTGTCACCATCGGCTTGTAGCCAGTGCTTGGTTGTATGATGTGAATAGGACCTGAGGTTGGGATCTTGTCCTTCAGTAGGCATGGTGAGAGAAGCATGAATTACAGATGCTCAGCTGATCCAGAGAAAGGAAGTGCTTTTTCTTAATCACAGTAGAAAATGGTGTAGATATAAACCCTATTTTCAAACCATGCCTACTCACATATTTTGCCACCGATCACAGGCATACTTCAGAGATAATGTGACTGTGGGTTTGGTTCCAGAACACTGCAATAAAACAAATACCCCATAAAGCAAGTCACACAAATTTTTTGGTTTCCTAGTACCTATAAAAGTTATGTTTACACTATACTGTTAGTCTGTTAAGGGTGCAATAGCATTATATCTTTAAAAAAAACCCTACATACCTTAATTTAAGAAACAGTTTATTGCTGAAACATGCTGACACAAAGACATGAAGTGAGCACATGCTGTTGAAAAAATGGTGCCAGTAGACTTGCCCGACAGAGTTGCCACAAACCTTTCATTTGTAAGAAATGCACTGTCTGCAAAGCACAGTGTAGTAAAACAATAAAATGGGTATGCCTGTACATTCTTCTCATCCTTTTTAATGTCTCTTGGCCACAATAACTTGCTAGAAGAGGGACTTAAATCAGCCACAGCTTGTGGGGAGAAGCATTCACTTTCAATAATGTCTGTGGTTCAGTGTGTGTTTGGACTAAATACAAATCTGTTGATTCTACCTCTGGAATCAGAACATAGAACGCTACCCTTAGCGCTTGAGTATTCTTTACTCAGCTGACTTTGAGTTCTCTTTACTCCATTGCTCATGTTTTTAAGAAGCTTATAAGAAGTTTTGGCCCGACGCAGTGGCTCACGCCTGTAATCCCAGCACTTTGGGAGGCTGAAGCAGGCAAATAGCTTGAGCCTAGGAGTTCGAGACCAGCCTGGGCAACATGGCGAAAACCCATCTCTATAAAAAATACAGAAATTAGCTGGGCAGGTAGCATGTGCCTCTGGTCCCAGCTACTTGGGAGGCTGAGGTGGGAGGGTCACCTGAGCCCTAGAGGTACAGGTTGCAGCGAGCAGAGATCCTGCCATTGCACTCCATTCTGGGCAACAGAGAGAGACCCTATCTCCAAAACAACAACAAAGAGAAGTTATTCTGTTTATGGATTTGTTTGTTCTTGTTTTACAGGTGAAAATTACCAGTTCCGGCCTGTTCAGAATTGTATATATCACAGAAAGACATAATTGCCAATATCCAGAAACCATTTTATCTTTTATCAAATGTGTGATTCATAACTTTTGGATACCAAAAGAATCTAATGAAATAACCATAATCATCAATCCATATGGAGAGACTGTGTGCTTTTCTGTGGAGCCTGTCAGGAAGATATTTAACTATATGATACATGTGAATCGAAACAGTAAGTCCAATTTTATTATACTTGACTTTCCGGATTCAGTTTTTCTAGAGTAACTTTTCAATAAATTGACTTTTTTTCTTTTACCAACATTACATTGATAAAAAATCTTTTTGTTATGTGTTTGTGTGTCTTTTTTACTCCAGTCATGGATTTCAAACTCTTCCTTGTGTTTGTGGCAGGAGTTTTTCTTTCCTTTTATGCAGAGACCCTGAGTCAGTAAGTATTCCTTTTTATATTTTTAACTTTGTGAATGAAAAGAGGTTTAGATCATTTTTGACCACATGCTAAGTATTTTCACATTATTGTGCATTTGTAGTGCATACTTTAGGTTTTGCAAATAGGTCTGAAGATGGTGTTGAAAAGGCCTTTGAAAACAGTAACAGTTATTTGTATAGCGTGATATGTATATGTTACAAAGTGCTTTCACATATTTTATGTATTAACATATTTTATTAGATCCTGATAATAACTATGCAAGCTCTGTACTGTTGTTCTCATTTTATAGATGAGAAAAGCAACATCCTTCATCATACTATTAGTTCTTATCAGGGCTGGAGATTTGTTCCCTGGTTTTCTGGTCCACACACCTTGCTCTATTACATTAGAGCCGCCTCCTAGATTTATGGCCCTGATACAGAAGGCTGAATATAGCAAATATCTGACTCTTAGAGAAACGTATTATCATTTTCCTTTTTGTTAATGACATATTCTCATCTGAGAAACATATTATTCTGATGTTTTGTTTCTTGGAATTCTCTCATGAGAAAGAAATCTTTTTTCAATATTTTATTCATAGCTTGTGGATTCTAGGTTAGTACCCAATACTCGTCAGCTGTTCTTAACATTGTTCATTTTGAAGCTTTTCCTTATAGTGTTACCAAGTGTGTTTAATGTCATCCATGAACTTTATAAGCCAGATGATGCATACATAGCATGCAGAACAAAGCCTGGACTCCGAGGAGCTGGGTTGTAATCCCTAATCCTCCGGTGAGCAGATACTGACTTAGGGAAGGTTTTTTAACTTCTTGGTGCCTTAATTTTCTCCTTTCTAAAACCTGGACAAGTGCCTGCTAAATACATGATAGGTATTTAGTAATTATTGTCTGATCAGATCCTGAATATGAAAAATAACTCAGACATTCTGGTTTGCGTTAGTGGCAAGCAACTTACCATGAATTTCAAGTACCCATTTTGTTTTTTAAGAGTATAGGATATAAGGAGAGCTGCCATCTGAGTTTTTTGTTCTTAGTATTATTTATGACCGACGTTGCCAGGTTAAACATGCTTTTCATACTCAAAGTGCTGTTTGGCATTTAAATGGCTTATATCTGCTTATCTTGACAGAAGCCCTACTTTCTATTACTCTTCGGGAACTGTGCTAGGTGTTCTAATGACATTAGTCTTTGTCTTGCTGTTGGTGAAACGATTCATTCCGAAGGTAGGCACACTATGTGTAAATGAGTAAAAAATGGAAATCATGATCTTACAGACATGAAAAATTAATCAAAATTAATTCACATTATGATAGGTTCTAATTTAAACTATGTTCCTTCATTATATAAACTGGCTCTAAAATGTATCTTTTTCTGATGTTCCTGATTTTATTGATTACTATATGTAGTATTAAGTTTTGGTGCTACTTTTTTTGAGACCATTTTGCTTTCTAGGTAATGTGTTTTTCTTGAGTAATAGGAAGCTATTTCTATATTGAGTGAAAATTTCTATTATCTTTATAGAGCTGGGAATCTCATGATGCTGAACCATTGGGGCCTTGAATAACAGCACTGCTACATCTGGGAATTTCTTTATTATTATTAGTTCCCCAATCCACCATCTTCCTTTATTTTTATTTGTTTATTTTTTTTTTAGACAGTCTTGCTCTGTTGCCCAGGCTGGAGTTTAGTGGCATGATCTTGGCTCACTGTAGCCTCTGCCTCCCACCTCAGCCTGCCAAGTAGCTGGGACTACAGGCACACACCACCATGCCCAGCTAATTTTTGTATTTTTTGTAGAGACAGGGTTTCACCATGTTGCCCAGGCTGGTATTGAACTGCTGAGCTCTGGCGATCTGCCTGCCTTGGCCTCCCAAAGTGCTGCAATTACAGACGTGAGCCACCGTGCCCAGCCAGACCTTCAATAAAATAACACACTGAACTTAGTTGGGGATAAATAAATAATTCAGGATGGTGGTGTTGCACTTACACTGATTAAAGTTTACAACACCAGCATTATTTTGAGATAAATTTATTCTTTATAACAGTGCTTCTCCAACTTCAGTGTACATGCAAGCCACGTGGGAATCTTGTTGAAATGCAGGTTCTGATTCAGCAGTCTGCGGTGGGGCCTAGGACTCTGTCAACCCAGCAAGCTCCATGTGATGCTGGTGTTGCTGACTTGTGGACCACACCTTAAGACCCTAGGGAGTTTCTTAAATTGACTTCAATTCAGTTTGATGTAGGAGTTTCTAATACAAAAGGTTTATTTGTTTGCTTTTATTTTTATGAGAGTGAATGAACAAAAAAATGTGTCATTTATTTTCTTCCACACACAGTATAGCACCTTTTGGGCTCTAATGGTTGGTTGTTGGTTTGCTTCAGTTTATGTTGTGTGCCAGTTGATGGAAGATCTGAAGTGGCTGTGGTATGAAAACAGGATATATATATTAGGTAGGTAAATAGAAAAGCAATACGCTCTGTGATTGGTAAAACTGAGATGTACAACTAGAGGCCTTCTTTTGATAGATGTTTCTCTCCAACATCTAAATTTTCATTTTGAACTAAGGAAAGGTGCTACTAAAAATAATATTTTGTTTATTTTATTCCCATTGTTGGTGATTTCAGTTCATTTAGATCTCATTTTAGATGATTTCCCTATGACATGTTTCTTAGTTTTCTATAGTAATGATCAAAAGAGGAAAAAAAAGTGTTTGTCCCTTTTGAATGCACATGCTTCTGAATTGTGGTTAAGCTCTAACCACATCTAACTTGTAATGTAAAAGCTTCTCTGAAAAGCGACTGTTTATTTCTTTCTCTCAAGTATTCAGTAGGAAAGGTGAGAAATCCTAAATATAAATGACTAATGAAAACTTGACTTTTCAGAAATACAGAGGCTAAGAAACCATTTATTTTCCTTGTTTTTCGTTACAAAATAAATGTTTTTTATTGTTTATTTTAACGAGAAAATAATGGACAATGAGAGAATGAATTTTCTCCGTACCTTTAGCACCAAATTTCTCACATAAGTTCACTTCCCTCAAAAGAAAAGCAATTAAGTTTTTTGTTTTACTTGAAAACTGTGTATTTTTTAGCTCATTCTTCTTTTTGTGCTTCTTTTAAATTACAGATATCATGGTATGCTCCCCTGAATACTGCACTATTCATCTCTAAAAAACAAGAGCCTTTTCCTATATAATCTGTTAATTATTATCTGAAAAATAATTACATAAAATCATCTATTACCCAGGCCATGATAAAATTTCCCATTCTTGATGGCTTATATAAACTAGGATATGGTCCAGAACCACATTTAGTATCTGTTTTGTCCTGTAAATTGCTTTTAATCCATAGCAGTTTTTTTTTTCATCATAGTGATATGCTAAAGAGACCAAGCTTGTCCTATAGAATGTCTACCTTTTATATTTATCTGATGACCCCTTTATGGTAGAATTTAACATGTTCTTCTCTTCTGCGTATTTTCTGTAAACTGGAAATTAGACCTCAAGGCTTGGTTAGATATAAATTAAACACTTAAGATAGAATACCTAAGAGGTGATGGGCACTTCACCTTGGATCATACCCAGAGACACAGCATAGCTTATAGTCTCACCATCATAATGATGAGACTGAACATTTGGATTCAGAGGATGACTCCCTCCACTGTAAAATTACCTTTTCCTTTTATGACTAGAAGGTAAAATAAAAAATAGGGTTTGTAGCCAATGGTCACATACAACTATGACTTCTTCCTGGCCAAAGTAACCATGATAACATTTTAATCCAGCGAAGGTGCTGGACTAAAATACAGACATACTTATATATCATCATCATAATGAGTGTACATCCCAAATTATTGCGAAAGTCAGCCTAGTATCTCATATGGAAGGAATAACACCCTATGTACATTTTTCAACCTTACTTTGTGGGGAAAAAAAAAACAAAAATTAAGGTTCTCTAATAGTTTTTACCTTTAAGTCAAGGCTCTGCCAGCTTTTTCACATAATGTCTCAAATTCAAATTTGTATTATTTTACCTCTTCCACTTTTCCAGGCTATGTCTTGATAGTTGGATTTTTCAGCTTTGTTGTTTGTTACAAGCATGGGCCCCTTGCAGATGACAGGAGCAGAAGTCTTCTGATGTGGACACTACGACTCCTCTCCCTGGTTCTGGTCTATGCTGGTGTGGCCGTGCCTCAGTTTGCCTATGCAGCCATAATCCTCCTCATGTCCTCCTGGAGTCTGCACTACCCACTGAGAGCCTTCAGTTATATGAGGTGGTATGTATTATTTTTCCCCCCAGCAAATTTGACATTTTGAGCTCTGGTTTTATTATTTGGGAGAGTTTTTGCACACATCATGTTAATCTCAAAATTACATTTGATCTGGAGATTTCATTCTGAGCAAGATTGGGGGTGGAGGGGGAAGAGAGCTCCAAGCGTCTGATCCTATCTTCATGGCTAGTCTTCATTAATCGTTCAGAGCTGTATCACCAATTACCAGGTAATTAGAGCTCACTCAGAATTCACTAGAGTCAGTGACAGAAGTACTTGGACTCTGGGTTACCTAAAATATCTTCTTTTATTCAACATTTTCTTTAATTAGAGCCAAAGACTACTTTAGTGGTATCAGCTGTCCTTATGAGATACGAATTAGGAAACAGAAATGAATCATAAATGATTGAAAGGTATTATTTGCATTTAGAACTTTCTTTTTTCTTAGGTTTTAAGTTAAGGCTTATGGCCTTTGAAGTATAAAAAGAAAAATGAAGTAACCTCTATTGTCACAGCTTTGTTATGTTTCTCCTCAGTCATTGAGTCTGAGCAGCTGTTTTCACATCAGGTGCACAGATGGGGATGGTTCTTGCCCTTGAGGTATACTTGCTAGACATCAGCATACATTTCTATCTCTTTTAAGTATTAAAATAGAGACTTGCCCAGGGACCAAGGGTATATAGAGAAAGCCAGGAGAGCTTTCCTGGAGGAGATATTACTATGCTGAATCTTAAAGAATGAATTAAAATAACCAGATGAATAAACACGGAGGGCTTTCCTGATAGAAAGCCCAGTTTGGTACCATCAGGAGGCACGCAGTGTTGTCAGTGCAGCAAACAAGGTGGGCATGGGCCAGATGCATGGCAGCCACGCTAAGCAATCTAGTCCAGTCCTGTACACAGTGGGGTTTAACCGTGAGACATTTTAGTTAGTCCTCTGACTGTTGCCTGTATAGCAGTTATCAAACCAGTTGCTTAGGACCCAGGCAGATACTATGGTGAGTGATGCTGAGCAGGGGTAAGGCAGCAGTAACCAGGAGGAGTGTGGGAAATTCTGCAAAGCAACCTCATTGAAAACGGGGCAGTTAACACTCAGCTTGAGCTGATTGCTCTCGTGTGGGAATATGAGTCCTGTATTGCCAGATCTGCTGGTTTTCTAGAAAAATTGGAAGTGGGAATTACGATTAGAATGTGAAATCTTAGCATTTTAAAATGTTGGCATTTAAAAATAAAAATAATTAAAAATAAAAATACATTGGACAAACAAAAATGACAGCAGAGACCATAAATACTCATTGGCCCGTGGGATGTGGCCCATCTGTCTTCTGGCACAGCAGGTGGATACAAAGGGGAGGTCCCTATGGCAGGAGAACAGTTATCAGACATCACAGTGGTCCAGGCGAGAGATGATGAGGGCCTAGGGTAGGACCATGAGACCAAGGCTAGAAGAGGGAGGGAATAAATGTTCAAGAGGTAAAATTAGCTGTGAGGAAGGACACTATGGTGACTGGTAGTTTATGGAACTGGTGACTGTGTGTGCGTGTGGCAATATCACAGGGTTAAAATTGCACCAGTGACAGGACAGGGAGCCCACACAGAAGATGTTGGTGGGGCTGAAAGGCAGCAGGGCAGGGTTGGAGGGTTGATGCTGACTGGGTCTCTCTTTGCCCTATCTGCCCGAGGCAGACAGTGAATGGGAACACCAGTCTTCTGTCAGTAAGGCTGGCCCCCCAACATCTTCCAGGTCCCTGGCCCTTTGCCAGGCTTGTGACCTGAGGAACTCAGGATAAAGTTCCTTCTTCCTTCTCTTTAACCCTCCAACTCCCTGCCAAGAGCAAAGTGTGTTCTGCACAATGGTTCTTTTGTGCACTAGCTGTGTTCTATAATAATCAAAATGTACTATAACTTCCTCAACTTAAAATTTTGCTAGTGAGTAGTTATATAAAGAACTAGGGAATGAAACAGGAACTTACAGGTTAAATAACACAACAGAGAAGTAATACCTTGATTTTGTATACTACTTTCTCATTGCAAAGAGCTGTTTACTTTTAATAGTATATGGTAACTACTCTTTTGATTATCCTTATTGAACACCTACTATAGGCCACTTACAGTGCTAAGCACCCTACACAAAATATCTCATTTAACCTGTACAGTGACCTATGAAGTAAATGAAGTAGATATTATTGCTTTTATTTTTATTTTTTTCGTATGACCAAAGTGAGGCTCTGAACTGTTAAGGAATTCCCCAAGTTCATATAGTGAATAAACCTCAAAGCCAGGACTGTGTCCAGGTCTTCTGGCTCAGCATCCAGGGATTTTCCTCCAGGGAAACCATGCACAGGTATTCAGAAAAGGAGAAGGAAATTATGTCACTGGTTCCTTGATCTAGCTCATCAACTGTGAGATCTTTAAAAGATAACAGATTTATTCAGTCCCAACCCTCAAGAAAAAAAATATATATAGAGAGAAATATATATTATATAAATATAATATTCAGATAATTCTGATGTTCATTTATATTTGGAAATCTCAGGTTAAATTTAAAATCACCCCAAAATATTTTTTAAAACTCACTATAAATAAAACAAATGTTTTAGGCCGGGCACGGTGGCTCACGCCTGTAATCCCAGCACTTTGGGAGGCCAAGGTGGGTGGATCATGAGGTCAAGAGTTTGAGACCAGCCTAACCAACATGGTGAAACCCCGTCTCTACTAAAAAATACAAAAATTAGCCGGGTGTGGTGGCATGCATCTGTAATCCCAGCTACTCAGGAGGGTGAGGCAGGAGAATTGCTCGAATCCCAGAGGCAGAGGTCGCAGTGAGCCAAGATTGCGCCATGGCACTCCAGCCTGAGTGACAGAGTGAGACTCTGTCTCAAAAAAATAAAATAAAATAAATAAATAAAAGTTTTTAAAACCTTATTATTGTTACTATTTTTATGAGATTCTTAGATTCCTAAATTTTTAGGTCCCTACATTTTATGAGATTTAGGATTTTCTTGGTTGGAAAAAGAAAGTTCTACTCATGATCTGCTTGTCATGTAATAAAGGAAGAATTACTATAAATTTTGTACAATATTTGCTCTTTCTCTCTAGGATTAGTCAGAATCACCACCACTAGGTGGAAGTGATATCCCACAAATCCTCCCAGGTTCTTGGTGTGGAGAGTAAATGGTCAATGTTCTAGAGGATCTGCATAAAAGGACATCTCAAAAGCTTGCTTCTGTTAGTGCCTAATAAAATAAACAGGCCAAGCATTAAAAAACAAACAAACAAAAAAAAAAAACAGGCTTTTAATTGCCTGTGTGATTAGAAATCACCGAGGAAGAAAAATACAATTAACATCTGTATCAGAAATTAATTCTCAAATGCCTTAGGACATTATTTATGATAGTTCAGGAAATGGGGAAATGTACTATTAGGCCCAAACTGCATGTTCTCTATACCTCAGTAATGATAACAGCAATAAAAAAAATATAGATATGATATGGAGGAAGTTAAGAAGTATTATTACTGTTACAATCTAAGAAATGTATTTTTGTAAATCTTAAGGATTGAATTAGGCAGTAATCCTGCAACCACATGCCACGTTTTAGGAAAATAAAGCAGTGGTTTACATCGAAAGAGCTGGTGGTGAAGTATCTTACAGAAGATGAGTATAGGGAGCAAGCTGATGCTGAAACGAACAGCGCTCTGGAGGAGCTGCGCCGGGCCTGCCGAAAACCCGACTTCCCCTCGTGGCTGGTGGTCTCCAGACTCCACACTCCTAGAAAGTAAGTCCTACTCTGCTGCTCAGACCATAGTTTAGTTGAGAATGATTTTAAAAATAATATGATGGTTTGGTACAGGCACTTCAGGGTGAAAATAGACTACTTCCTTGGATAACAGATGATGTGGAAGTTGTCAGAGGTCCCTTTTCTCAGTGCTGTGACTTTGCACAGTAGAACTGCTGATGTCAGAATAAATATTTATCTGATGTTTTATAGGGAAGGCTAAAAACATAACTTCCTTATGTTTATAGGGAAGGGAAGGTGGAATAGGATGAGTGACCTGCTTCTCATCCTATTGGTGGAGAACATCTTTTTTTTGTTTTGTTTTGTTTTTTTCTTTAGACAGAGTCTCGCTCTTTCGCCCAGGCTGGAGTGCAATGGTGCTATCTCAGCTCACTGCAACCTCTGCCTCCCGGGTTCATGCCATTCTCCTGCCTCAGCCTTCTGAGTAGCTGGGATTACAAGGCGCACGCCACCATGCCCGGCTAATTTTTGTATTTTCAGTAGAGATGGGGTTTCACCATGTTGGTCAGGCTGGTCTCTTAACTCCTGACCTTGTGATCCATCTGCCTTGGCCTCCCAGAGTGCTGAGATTACAGGCGTGAGCCACCACGCCCAGCTGGAAAATCATTTTTAAAGTTCACTAAGAAAGACGTCTGTCCCAACATTTTTCCTTATTGCTTTCTCTTCCTCATGACTTTATCCAAATAACAGTGCCCTCAAATTAAAGATGGAAGGGGGAAAGCATTTGACACAAAATAATGAATAATAATAAATTCAAACTAATAAAAAATTGAGACAAGAAGGAATCAGAAAACAGGAGTGGGTACATTTGGCTCACGTAATGCTTATACATCTGCCCTGCTTCTCTGCCCTTTCCATGAATAGCTGTCTTTAGAGGGATCACATAAGCCATTCCCATTTTACACCCACTGGGTAAATACCACCCTCTATTGATGCAAAGTCAAATTTAATTAAAGGGGATAAATAGCAAGGGAACATGTTATCTTTCAAATAAACCTTCCTGAGATAACATTAACTTTATTTAAAACAAAAAACTTATTAGATTTGCAGACTTTGTTCTTGGAGGAAGCCACTTGTCACCTGAAGAAATCAGTCTGCATGAAGAGCAGTATGGCCTTGGGGGTGCCTTCTTGGAAGAGCAGCTCTTTAACCCAAGTACTGCCTGACATGCGACCTTCAAGTTGACTTCATTCTGGACAAGGAAGTGGGCAAAGGGTAGGGATTCTATTAAAGTTAGGCAGAACTGTTCTAGTGAACAGTGGCAAAAACATTTGCTGTGGAGAAAAACAAGTCATTCTGGAAAGGAAAACTAACCCATTTTGAAGATAACTTAACATTCTTGGTGAGTTCTGCTATTTACTGTACTGTAGGTGGATACCAAGATTCTGTGACAGCCACTACCACCTTCCTTGAATGAAGGCTTTCATTAGGAACAGGGGAATGGCGTTCTTCAAGGGGCTAATAAGCGTGAACAGGTGCTTTGTCAACACCAGGGCCCTAAATCCGCTCTTAATCCCCTGAACCTGTGTCAGAAGACTCTGCAATACTCTTCCTATATTTCATCAGTATAAGTCCTAAAAGAGACCTGAGACATGCTGGACCAGTGTTTTCCAAAGTACAGCTCACAGGATACTACCGAGTGTTGGTCAGTAAAGGTATTCTGAGGTCAGCTAAGATTGATATAAACTAATGTACCTCTCAGAGTCATTCATAATGCTCATGTGCACTGTGAATCTCCCAAAGAGGAGAAAGTGTGTGCTGCAGTTTCTTGCTTAATTTGACCACAGAACTCTTTTTCATGAGATTAATATTCCTTGGAACACATGTTTGGAAAGTGCTAATGGCGGTGGAATTGAGCTCTGGAGAGGTTAAACAACTTGTGCAAGACCACACTGAGATGCAGCACTGGTAGAAATCCAGCCCTGGTGTATCCTTTGACTCAGGTAGATAAGATCTTCAGGTGCAAGCTTAGAAGCCATCTTCCAAAGCCATGGGCCTCACAATGTGGTGGCTTTACTTTTTATTTTTCAATAATGGCCAACTTGCTATTTAACTGTGATAAAGGGAAATGTTTCTTAAGACATTTTAAAGTTTTTTATACATAAGATTTTTATATACATACATAAGGATTAGATACTATGATTACTTTGTTTTTTTTTTTGTATTTTGAAATTGAAGGCATTTAACTTCTTACGACATTTTGAATTGACTGATCCATTTAAAAAATTGTTTAACTATATGTGTTTATAACAGTTTCTTACAAAACAATTTTTTTCTTGAGTCATGATATTAAACTCCAGAGTGCAATGAGGGGCTGTGAGCTTTGACCCTGAGGAAAGAAGGCCAAAACATAGATCTGAGAAAAGATTTGAACATGGCAAGACAATCTCAGGGTTAAGGTGTTGCTTAGTTGATTCTGAGAATCAAAATCAGGCTTTTTTTCCTGTGATGGGACCATAAAAATCTTTTTATCAGGACAAGGGTTATGGGGGAAGGATAGACAGAATTTTGGCACTGCTGCTTTCCTGAGCCAAATTTAATAGTTTTTCTAAGTCATGAAAAAAGAGCATGACTATCCATCTGGAACTTTCTAGATTGATTTTCAAATGATAGTTCCTCTTTGAAGTATTTACAGGTCTGTTTTTGCCAGACATCTTTTCATACTAGGAACTTTGTTTTTTTGTAATATCCACTAAAGTTAATCTGCCTTTATATAGACTTGGATTTTTAAAGAACCAAAGGATGTATTTCCCATTCAGATTTATGGTAACTATTTTATGAGTAAATAGAAGTTTGAACATTTTTCTTATGGTTTAATCTGTTTTTTTATAATTATATTTATTGGTGATATAAATATATCAGATGTATCAGTGCCTGTGCTCACCAAGTTCGTCTCCTAAGAGGCAGTTTGTGTGGTACAACATATACGTATGAGTAAATAACACATAAACAATCTGCTGGGGCTGCCAGGTATGTCCCAGCCAGGACAGCCACTGGGCCAGGGGGAAGAGGTACTGCCGAGGGAAGGAAGCAGCTCTTCATGGGCAGCTAGCCAGGTGTAACCATCACAATAAGAACAGCCAAAGAGAGAAGAACAACAGCAGTCCTCCAAGATATTGTTTTCCATGTTTATTTTTAGAAGAAATCATAGGTTTGTCAGTTTCTGCTTTGTGACTACTGTGAGAAGCTAAACAATTAAAAGCATTACTTGTGATATTTTTAGTGTATTTATGTTGTTTTCATTTGATTTGGGGGTATATTATAGTACTGATCACAATTCTAATCCCCATCAAGCAATGTACAGATAACTCTTGTAAGAAGTGTGTCCCTCCTTTCTTTCCTCCCTTCTCTTCTCTTTCTCCCTCACCTCCTCTCTCCTCTCCTCCTCCCTTTTTAAAGTCCTTTGAACAGTTTAAACGACCACTAAATAAAATGGCTCTGCCCTTCACAGGTGGTTGGAAGTTGACTTTGTGCTTCACACACCATAGGTGTATAATTATGGAGCCTAACAGATCCCTTTGTTATGTTATTGCTTATGTTTCATGCCTACAAAGCTTACTGTTGTTAGCAAGTTGGACTGTTTGACACCAGATGTGTGGGTGAGATACAGTGTAGGTGGCTATGCTTAAACAATTGTATCATTCAAGTGTTACTTTTAAAAAGTTTTAAAACACATTTTACATATCACAAAAAAATGCTTTGTGAATTAGTTGTATGGTTTGCCAGTAATACTTAGGGCTGAATTACAGGGGAATGTCCATCTGACATGAAGGACAATATTTCAATTTATGACTTTTTAAAAAAGATCTGGAAATTTCAGATATTTCGATTTTAAGAGGGTTTGGAATAGATGATGGATTACATAAAAATATCTAAATATGTGGAGGAATTACGATCCTGAAGTGATGCCAACTAAACAAATGCTCTCTTACATTATTCTGTTTGTGACTGTTCCCCAGAGTTAGAGATGTACAATTTTATAAATTAAATTTTCTTGTCCAACTGAAAGCAAGACAGACAACATAATGGCCGTGGAAGTTTGAAGACACCTGCGGGAAGACAGAGAGGTACTTTCAGGTGACAACAGGAGCAAGCTGCCTTCTGAGAGAGCCTGCTGGGTGGCATGACATTGAAGAGTGAACTATTTGGGTGTAACTGTTAGCCTTATTGACTCAGAACCCTGCTTTTTGTTATTACACCATAAGACTTGTCTCCTGTTAGCCAATTCATATAGTTGGTACAGGTAGTGATTCAGAACCAAAAATATAACTAGCATAAGGATAAAAACACTTGAATTGATATGACCAGCAGATTCTCTCTCAGAAGACAGTTACAAGGGGTCAAATTATAATAAGGAGGCTACTTGGTAAACTGAAACAAAACAAAGGGAGCTTGTTATATAATTCACATGGTTAATGTCATGAGGCCGAAGAGTTTAATGCAGATGCCACCCCCTACCCCAATGGGGCTAGCCTTGTTAATGGGATGAGATACCAGGTCTGTTGACAAAGACCACCCCTTCCTTTATGCAGGTCCTGCCAACTTTTTCCTCTCTGTGACTGCTGTTTTTCTAATCATTATTGACCAACATTCCACCCCCTCTGATAGGCATAGTTTTACTCAGATACGTTAAAATCTTTAGTCTTTCTCTGGCCTAGGAGTTGGATTATCTTTTAAAAGTAACTGTATTTTTTTGTTATGATCCCTGAACGTGAAATCTTAATAAGTCACCAGAGATTTGAAATGAATACTATATTTATCTACAATAAATCTTGGAAGATGCAGTTAGTGGGCAGCTTCTCTTTATTATTTAAATAATTTGAGGGATAAGTTTTTTTTTAGATTTGGTCCTTTTTCCAAAAAAGACCGATTGAAAAGAAAAGGAGAAGAATACCAACATTGATTAGAGATCCATCAGGCACTACGTGAGGTGCCTTCGATACCTCTTAATTTGCACCTCATGGTCACTCTGTGACATGTTTTGGTATTTTCATTTTACAGATGAGGAAAGACCCAGAGAAGATAGGAGAAAGTTGCTGAAGGACACATATAGCTCAAGTGGTAGAATCAGAATTCGAGCCCCCATATGTCTGCTTCCAGGGCTCATATTCTACTTCCTTTATTACCATGTTTTTAAGAAAGTTAAGGAAATGACCCCATGGATAATGCATTCAAGAGGTGACTACATCTGCTGATGTTATACACATACCAGTCATTTGTGCCCCGCAGCAATGGACACTGTAGTCTGTGGCTCTTGTCAGTGCTTCTCAGATTATCTGGGGTGATGGACCAGTTTCCCTCTAGTTCATCACAAGTAATACTTTTGTAAGATATGCTAAATTATTAGAAAAATGAAATAATCTTTAAAAGAAAAGACATACAGAATATAAGCACGATGATCATGTCATGACAATGTCAACTTGCCATACATATTTTGAAACGTCTAATTTCTATGTTGTCACATACCAGCAGTAGTTTGACAGCACCAGTCCTTGAGCACACTTTGAGTAGCACTGGTCTACATGTTACTTTTCTAAGATGCCACTGATCTTTTCAAGAAACAAAAAAAATCCTGACCTTTTTCAAATATAAGTGTACAATTTAGAAGAATGGCATTCTGCGCTGACAATTGGAGAGAGTATGGTATATAATTTGTTAAATGATTATAAAATTGTTTACTTTTGTTGACACCTCTAAGAAGAAAAAGAAAAATGAAAATTATGGAATTTATAACCTCTCTCAGCAGACTTTTGCACTTTATGGAATTGTCATCGTCATCATTTTTTTCCATCTTCCTCCACTTATGTTTTGTCTAATTTTATCTCTTAACTAACTCATATCCCCAACCACTTAATGTTTACAATGCATGTTGGAATTGAATGCCTTACTGTACAGCTTACTAGACATAGGTAAATATGTATAGTATGGCACTGTACATTGGGAGAATGGAATATGATTACAGATATAAATGGCAATAAAAGAATAGAACTAGACCCTGGTTGGGGAAATGAGACAGCACTCCTCCTGCCCCGAGTGCTTTACTACACAACAATGGCAGTATTTATGGAGCACACACTGTGTCTCAGATAACTCATTTTAAACATCAACCTGTAACATACCTACTATAATCACTTCCGTTCTACAGAGGTGGGTCCTGAGGCCCAGCGATGTTATATGTGTGTGTAAGTTCTCACTGGCAGAGCTGGAACTCAGATGCAAACAGTGTGACTCCAGAGTGCACACTCCTAACCCCAACGTTGTAAGGTCCTTGGGTTGCCATCTGAAAACTGGGACTTTCCTGGAGCCACAGTGGGGGACAAGTGGTCCTATATTAGCTGCCTGAAACAGATGGCAGCTGGTTGAGAGTTAGGTACCCAGCTGGACTGGCACTTAGCTGGACTGGCTCACTTTCCCCCCATGTTAGACATCAGCAAGTTTCCAGTTACTGCCTTATAAAAAGCCACAGTTTGTCCTGGCATAATGTAAACTACTTTCTGAGATCTGACAAACCACTCCCCCTTTCACCTAGGCACCAGCCTCTCTCCCAGCTGCTCCATGGCTTGGAATCCTTAAGCCAGATATTCTCAAGGCTTTGCTAAACAAGCCCAGGAGTGGTTTGGGGCTTCAAAAGTAGCCTTTGTCTTGTCTCCATGCTCCAAAGGGCTGAAGAACTTCCAAATGGAAAATCACCTCTTTCTTCCGTATAGTCACTGTCAAAGCATACCCTCATTTTCACAGAATTAACATAATCTTAAGCTCTAACCTCTCACACTGAAGCTGAGGAAACAGGCCCAGAGATCTCCCAAAGGTGATCTCTTCCTTTATACCCATGCTGTCCAATATGGTAGTCTTGAGCCACGTGTGGCTATTTAAAATTAGAAACCTAATTCCCCAGGAAATTAGCCACGTCAGTTGTTTAATAGCCACGTATGGCTTATGGTTACCATACTGGACAGTGTAAATCGAGAACTTCCCATCTTCCCAGTAAGTCCTACTGGACAGTGCTATTCTACGATGCCATCGCCTTGGTTACAGAGCTGTGGGTGTGTCTGCTTTCCCTTCCTGATTCCCATGGCCCTGGCCAGAGTCCCTACCAACCTTTGGGCTTCCTGTGCAGAGTTATCAGTCCAGCCAACTCACTGGCAGAGTGTAAAGGGTCTGGTGTACCTACATTTCACAAAGCATCAGGAATTTGAAGGATTTCTAGAAATCTAGGAATATCTAGAAATCCTAAATGGAAATACAACCACACATATACACATATCAGGCATGTATGGTAATGGTTCAGGCTGGGCTGCTTTATGGCTTCCTCTGCCACAACAGATCCAGGGAATGGCCTCCCTGCCTCCTGGGGTGGGGCAAGGTGCTTAGCGGACTAGGGCTTTGACATTAGGAAGATTTGAGTTTGAATCTTGGCTTTGTGACCTTGATCTCATAACTTAAACTGTTAGCTTCAGAATTCTCTTGTTTAAAATGGGGATAGTGATAGGAACACCTCCAGTTTTTGTTAAGGGCAAAATGATAATCTCAGCACACTACAAGCACCCAATATCCACGGATGTGGTTCCCTTTTCCTAGATTCCCTGCGTAACTCCAAATCGTGGAGAGCAATATTGCCTAAGTAATGGTCTCAGTACCTCAGCAGTACTGGATGGAATTGCCAATTAGAGGGAAGCTATTAGCCAACTATCCACTTCATGTGACCCATGGCAAGATTAATAAGCCAGTAAAGCAGCGTTGCTCTTCCTGTGAATTCCTTAACGCTTTTCATGAGGTTTACTGCCTGCTGGACAATGTATGTATTATAATCTATTCCTAAGACTTGAGGACTAGTTTAATAATTAGCAATTAACTGCTTTGGATCCACACAAGCTCAGAACTTGGGTAATTTACTGTTTCTACAACCACAGGAGAAAGAGTAGGAAGTAAGTCATTAAGACAGTGATTACCAGCCTGGGCTCTGTGACACCCCTGCGTGTGCTGAGGGATCTCAAGAGGGGTTACAAAATCTCAAATCAAAATTTAATTTGAATTCACTTTAATATTTTTTAAGGTAGCATATGGCACTTTGGGGACAGGAAGAAAAAGTCACAAAGTCCACAAACCCATGAAGGTGTCAGCTCACAAGGCTGGGAATGACTGCATTATAGATTCTGCTGTCACAGTAAATGTTCCATAACAAAGGCATGTTGAATTTGGTCTCATTGATTACAGAGTAAAGGACTTCTGTTTGGTCACATCTTTATCATTTAAGAAACATTTAAAAATGGTATATATTTATATTTCAACATGTCAGCTGTGCATTTCCAAAACAGCAGGCTTTTCAAAGGAATAAATCAGAACTGTAAACACAAGATACAGTATAAGTTTTTGACTTCCTACAGTCAGTTTCACAAATCCACATACTGTACATTCATAGGTGAGGTTCAGCCTGTCACCCATTTCTTT